GGAGGGATGATTAAAGGATTAAAAACAAAAAAACTTTAAGCAGGGCACCGGTAGCTCATGCCTGTAATCCTAGCTGTTAGGAGGTTGAGATCTGAGGATCACAGTTCAAAGCCAGCCTGGGCAGGAAAGTCCAAGAGACTATTATCTCCAATTAACCACCAGAAAACAGGAAGTGGCGCTGTGGCTCAAATGGTAGAGCACTAGGCTTGAGCTGAAGAGCTGAGGGACAGTGCCCAGGCCCATGACCAACAAAATTAATAAATAAAAAAACTTTAAAGAGGACTTGCTGTCTTTTTATTATTTAATTTACAATAGTGAGCAGAGCAGTCATCTTTTCTTTACTATTATAAACTCATAGTTCTTTCTATGTATGCATTAAGGTCTAATGTTTTATCTTTTTCTCTTTCAATGGTGTTAATTATCTGTTAAGAATTTCTTCAATTAATGTGGAGTTTTTTCCAGCATCAGTTTGTCTGAGACATCTTCATACTTTTTTTTTTTGGTCTGGTCTTGGGTCTGAAATCTGGGCCTGGGCACTGTCCCTGAGCTCATCAGCTCAAGCCTAGTGCTCTACCATTTGAGCCACAACGCCACTTCCAGTTTTTCTGCTTATGTGGTGCTAAGGAATCGAATCCAGGGCCTCATGCATGCAAGGCAAGCACTTTACCACTGAGCCACCTTCCCAGCTCCTATCTTCATATTTTGTATCAAAAACTCTTTCCTTCGCTGAATCAATAAGCTTATCTCAACTAAGTTTCTCTAAGTTTCTCTTACTAGAAGGTTAGTATCTTTCAGAAATTAATAGCTGTATTTGCACAGCTCATTATTTCTGCATAATTCCATTAATATTCTGGCTGATTTCACTTCCAGTATTATCCCTTTTCATTTCTACTCATTTTCTTCTTTACTGATCCAATTTTTCTATTATCCATTTTTTAAAATGTCACATAAGTTTTCATTGGGAAACAAAAACAACTACATTCTTTGATATCTGATCAATAAACAGATGCAGGCATATTTTGAGAGAAATAAAATTATCAGTCAATCATCATGATGCACATCGGTAACTTAAACAGGAATCTGTAGACTGAAGAGCTGTAGTAAAGTTTGTACATTATGCAATTACTGAGTTAATTTACCATGGTAACTGAAATTTGAACTGTGTTATTGAAAGACTGGTGTTCTTTAAATTGTGGTCCCTGAATTTCCTATTCATGCAAAGTAAGAACTGTCTGCTCATGTTATTAATATTGAAAAATAAACTTAGAGGATCCTCAAAATTTCCCCCCAACATTACCAAATGGCATAAACCAGAAAGCAAGAATCATGTCATTCACATTCACTCTTTAGATACAACTAGTTCTTTCCTATCTTTTCCTACTGATACCTGAAATTGTGTTTCATAAGTGGGGTTTGGAATTTAACATAACAAGAAAAGAATGGGAATTTAGGCTCTAATTTGTGGCACTTCTGCCACATTTACTTCATTTTGTTCTTTATTGCAATAGAGTTTATTTGTATAATTATGCAAGGATTATTTGTATAATTATGCAAGGATACTACACTTTTCTGTTATTATATTAAAATAAACAAAAACAAAACCAACAATGGTGTTGACAAAAAGGCCAGCCTAGGCACACAATTCACAGGACTCCCTATCTCAACCAATGGCTAGGATGATAGCACATACTTTTCATCCCAGCAACAAAGGAAAGTACAATAGAAGGACTGCAGTCCACCCCTGTACAGACATAAAGCAAGACTATCTCAAAAATAACCAGAATAAAAAGGAGCTGGAAGAGTGGCCCAAGGACAAATAGCAAGCAGCAGGCCCTGAGTTCAAACTCCAGTAGAACCCTCCCCCTCCAAAAAGATACCATTACATCAACAATGTTTACTAATCTCAAGGCTATTAAATTAAGTAAGATGTTCTTACTGGTACTAGTATAGTTTGAAAAATAAAAAAGTAAATTCATAATTTCTTTTATATCATGAAATAACACATAAATCCTTGAGTATCTTTCTTGGTATGAGGTCAAATCATTCTATATTCAAAATGTTTAATTCTATCTTACAGAAGAAATATCTAAAATGGCTAAACAGCTAATAGGTGAGGTTTTTGATATTCAATACTTCCTGAATTTATTAAAAAGTATAATCTTATTTGTGTATGTGTATGTACAATAGTGGGGATTGAACTACACTGATTTACTTGTTAGACAAGCAATCAACAACTTAAGCCACCCCTTAAAGAGCAAATGAATATTATTTACATATTATTTAACATAATTAACAAAATATCTATTCTTTAATTAAAAAATAATCTAGTATTTTACCTACCCCAACAATCCGTTTCATAGCCTCCAACTTAGCTGAGTCTTTGTTGCTCTCCAACATTTGTTTTAGGTCTTCATTCCTATTACAAATGAGAAGAAAAACAAACTCCCATATTTGGACTTTAACAAAAGATATAACACTTTCATAAAGATTAGAAATAATGAAAGACAGCTGTATTTTATTTATAAAGAAAACCTGTTTTTCTTGTTCCATCCTACAAATATCAATGGTTATGTTATTATAAAGCCCACCAAAACATGAAAGAACATAAAGAGGAAACCTCTTCCCAATACTCCTTAATTCTGAGAATAAAACAAATTTTAACATGTAAATATGAGGAAATGAACCACAGAAATGAGCAATAAGAAAGAAAACAAAGCACAGATTCAAAAACTACTCAGAATCAGAGGGATGGACGTTGAGGGAGATGGGACACTAAAAGGTATTACACAAGAATAAGACCTTTCTTTCTTTCTTTTCCAAGGTTGTTTGTTATGTAAGACATCTCTAAAAGTAGTATACAACAAATGTCTTTACTAAGAAGTTACAAAAATGAGAACAAAGAACTGCATACCAACAGTTTTTTTTGGTCATGGCTAACTTATAAATTAATCCTCTCCTAAAATTCTATCAATTCACCTTTACCCCACTAAAATTTGCCATTTGTAATCTACAATAATTTTCCTAAACAAGTAGAATATATATATATATAAATCTCTTACTCTATGAATCATCCTATTAAAATTTTGGACTGGGCTGGGAAGGTGGCTCAGTGGTAGAGTGCTTACCTGGCATGTATGAGGCCCTGGGTTTGATTCCTCAGCACCACATAAACAGAAAAAGCTGAAAGTGGCACTATGGCTTAAGGGCTAGAGCGCTAGCCTTTAGTTGAAGAGCTGAGGGATAGTGCCCAGGCTCAGAGCTCAGGCCCCATGACTGACAAAAAAATAATAATAATAAAATTTTGGGTTATAGGATGGCAAAAATATATGCAAACCCATATAACTTGAGTATAAAGAGAAGTCTTTAAATTCAACAGTTAAAAAATTAAATAGGGCAGAAGACAATGCTATGCATCCCCCTCCTCCCAAAATTCATATTAGCACCGTAAACCTCAATATGACTGTATTTGGAAATAGAGCCCTTAAAGAGATCATTAAGGTTAAATGAGGTCCTAAATTTGAGGTTGTAATCTAAGATAAATGATATCTTTATAAAGGATGTATATACTCAGAGGAAAAACCAAATGAGAACAAGGTGAAAACACAGCCATCTGCAAGCTAAAGAAAGGGGAAGCAGAAGAAACCAAACTTACTAAGCACCTGGATTTTGGACTTCCATTTTCTAGAATCATAAGCAGTCATTTTTTATTATTTAAGATACTAAATCTGTGGAATTTTCTTATGATACTTCTAGCAAATTAATGCAGATTTTACTACTAAGAAGTAATTTGCTGTAACAAGTACCTAAAAACATAGAAGTGGTTTTGAAACTGGGTAATGGGTAAAGGATATGAGTTTTGAGGTGCATATTAGAAAAATCTTAGATTGCCTAAGACAGACTGTGCATACAACCACTCTGGAAAATTAGGAGTTTCATACAAATTTAAACACACACATGCATGGGACCCAGTCTTCCCTCTCCGAAAAAAAACAAAAACATATGGCTTACACATGGCTTACACAAATAATTACAGTAGATTTATTCATAATACTAAACAACTTGAAACAATCAATGTTTTTCAGCAAAATGTTATTTACTAATACATACTACTCAGCAATGAAAAAGAATTAAACTACTAAATCAATATACTGAATGGAAGAAGCCAACAAAAAAGGGCATGACTTGATTCATTTATAATTCTAATTGGAAGTGAGAGAAAGCAAATAAGTGGTTAACTAGGGCTCTGGGAAAAGGTAAAGAAGAAGGGAAAATAAAACAATGTATTTCATAAGATGATGTAAATGTTCTCTATCTTAAGGGAACTTTCTTCAAAATATGCTATATTTGAGAAGTGTATTAGGTATTGGATAGATAGGCTACCATTTTACATATTTTAAACCAGCCAAGCACCAATGGCTCACACCTGTAATCCTAGTTACTCAGGAGGTTGAGATCTGAGGATAGCAGTTTGAAGCTGGCCCAGGAAGCAAAATCCATGAGACTCATATGTCCAATAAACTATTCAGAAAAGGCCAGAAGTGGAGCTGTGGCTCAAGTAGTAGAGTTAAAGAAGGAAAAAAAAAAAAAAACACCTCAGGGAACGCACCCAGTTCAAGCCCCAGGACTGGCAAAGAAAAGGGGGCGGGGAGTGAGAGGAAGGAGGGAGAGAGGGAAAGGGAAAGAAAAAGAGACAGAGAGAGACAGAGAGAGAGAGAGAGATCAAACCACTGAATTTTATTTTACTGCATCAAAGAAAAGCCTTCTAAATTACTGTAGGAAACCGGTCAGGAAACTCAGCTTATAGTATCTTAAGTTGTCATTAACTACTTGCAAAAATTACTAGTTTATAAGTATTAATCTTTCAGCAAACACTAGGGCAGTAAAAAGAATTTTAAAAAGAATCAAAACTAAAATTTTTCTGCTAGTATTAGAATTTTCTGGGAATAGCCATGTTAGCTGATCAGAAACAAGTTTTTCTGAGATCTTCAAATAATCTCATTTTAAGAATGACCAAACATGTTTTCCTTCAACTATCTTTGAGTAAAAGTTGATATAGCAACAAAAATCAATACCACACGTAACACCTTTATGCAACATAATCGCCAAATAAAGCCTTAGCTTTTCAGATGAAGTTTAAATGTTATTCAGAAGAGCTTTTATACTTCAAATACTAGCCTTAACAAATTCTCATCTCAGACATAAACATTTTACAAATTTAAGTCTAATGTGGGCAGCAAGCACTTACCAAAATAAATAACAAGGGCTGGAGTTTCAGCTTACTGGTACAGCATTTGCTCAGCATGTGCAAGGACCAGTTTAAATCCTTGTATTACAAATAATAATAATAAATTATTGATCAGGGCATTATAAGCTAAATTGTTTCTCTCTGCCTTGAAATTAGTATATTCAGATCATATCCTCCAGTACCTCATACCTGACTATGTTTGGAGATAGAGACTCTAAAAAGGTAAGTAAGTTAAAATAGGGATATACAGGTGAGCTTGTATCAATATGACTGGTATTCTTACAAGAAGTGATTAGGACACAGACACACACAAAGGAATGACAACAGAGAGAGACAATGCAAGAAGATGCCATCCTGCAAGCCAGAGAAACCTCCGAAGAAGCTGATCTTCTAGCCTTCAGATTTCTGAAAAACCAGGTTAAATATTACAAACTGTCATGCAGCAAATAAATAAAAGCTAAGCAAGCTGAGAGTCAATGGCTCACATCTGTAATCCTAGGATGATACCTGGAGAATCTCAGTTTGAAGGTAGTCAAGACAGAAAAATCTGTGGTACTGAACACAAAAACAAAATAACCAGCAAAAAGCTAGGATGGAGAATGAGATACTGCGTGTAAGTCTCAGAACCAATGTGTCCCCACTAAGCCAAAAGAAAAAAAAAGTAACATTTTTTTCCCAAAAAAGAACAAAAGATATAAAATCTATTATGAGAGAAAATTTACTTTTACTTTCCAAACAGCTCATAAAGTTTAATACAACAACCACATGTGGGAGACCTATTCTTTTGTAATTAAAATAGAAACTATATTAATAAAACAATATATAAGAACTGTATCTGAAAAATATATAGCTACTAAATATTAAAATGCTATACAAGTTCACTATAGTAAATTTAGAAACAATACTTCTCAAGCTCTTCCATACTGCACAGGTTACAGAAAAGAGAGAGAAATTAATGGAACCAGAGACTTCATTCTCTTCTAACTTTTGCTATTTCACTGTTTTATTTAATGACTCTGTACACTTTTCCTATGGTAGAAAGCATAAATAGGAATATCATAATCCAGACCAGCATGGACAAAATGCAAGATTCTATCTCAAAATTAACCACAGCAAGAATGACTGGGGGGGCATGGCTCAAGTGGCAGAGCACCTGTAAGCAAAAGGACCTCAGTTCAAACTCCAATACCACCAAAATAATAATACTTCATAGAGGTAAGGGAAAATGGAAGTAATTAAACAGGAACCAAATTTTAAAAATGTGAAGAAAATAATTTTCTTCTCCCGCTTATTCACTTTTTCTTTAACTAAAAATGTTCCCTCCACCAGTGTTACCTGGAGAGACAACAAAGAGCAATAAAGAAAAAGAAAACATCAATTTTTAGGATAGCTCAACCTCTAGTCCCAGACATAATTTTATTCATGTCCTAATGGAAACTTGGTTTGTTCCTCTTAAGCCCCAGTTGCCAGAGTCCCTATCCAACCACCTTTAGGTCCTGACCTACCTTCTGAAACCAAAAACAGGATCCTGGTATGAAAGCCAAAGGTCTTACACTTCTTGTTGAACAAAAAAGGTAGACTTCAACAGCAAATAACAAATATCTTTTGTGCTAACTCAGACAGAGAACTAATAACTTTGAAGAGCAGAGAAAAGAAAAAAGAAAAGTCCGAGGTATGGTTTCAGTGTGATGTAATAGCCTCTCATATATCTGTTATAATGACCAGCAGAAAATTCTGACGTAAATTATATACTACCTCCCAAATTCTTCTTTGTCACCAGAACAGTAAAGATTTGAGAAATTTTTTATCATTACACCTAATTTTACCTCGAAATATATTCACTTCTACTGAGTCACTTTAAGTCACCCTTCACTATATGAATTACAAATTATTACATGAATCTTATATACTAAGTTTTGTTAAGCATCAAGATAGTTAATTCAAACAACATTAAATAAACAACATTTTCATACCTCTTTGCCAAAAACAAATACTTGTTTCAAATGCACACATGTGCATATGTATATTTTTTTTATTTATCAAGTTTTTCACTTATCTAGTTACCTAAAGCTTTCTAGTGTTCAGTATTAGAATAGCAACTTTATTTTTACATAAGTGACATCTTGTGGTGTTAAATGGTATAACTTTTCATGTTCAAAATACGCCTACTT